CACTTGTTCGTCGATCCAAAGCAAGCAGGCACACGCACGCGCACACACACACACAGACACACACGCGAACAAAGGGACAGATTGAAAAGCAAATTGGCTGTCATCCAAGAGGCTTGTGTCAACGTCCATGATTCTTTGGGGTAGTCCCAATTCTTCTGAAAACCCTCCAAGATGCCCACAACAAGAAAAACACCCGGCACGTGTATGTGTCCAAAATAGGGGGCTCAGTGATTTTTTTGGTTTCCCTGCACACCAACCCCAAAAAGGCGCAGTGAGGATGGTTCGAGCGGCACAGCGCCACCGTCACCGGCTCTGCGCAGCCGAGCGCCTTCAGCGCCGGCAGGAGCTGCGAGCCGGCGAAGGCTGGCCTTGGGACCCTTTGGCTCTTTGACATTCGGTTGGGTTGCCCCTTCCGAAGAACAGATTGTGCCTGACATTGGTTGGACCAATTCCTCCAGGCCAAGGGGTTGCCCCTTTTGAGACGTACAAGAACACACAAACATGCCAAATACTAATTCAAAGGGGAGCCTCAAGCCCGCGTGCTTAAGAGGACGGTGCCAGCAACAAATGTTTGTTCGTGTGTGTGTGCGTGTTCCCTGCAATGATAGGCTTCCTTTCGGTACCCCTTTCAAACTTATCCAACAAGGGTCCCCTTGATTGGATGCGCAATCAGGGACCGGGACAAGCGGCACATAGTCGGAGCTCAGCACGAGCACAAAGATGAGCGCAAGAACCTGCAAATGGACAACATTCACGCCGATTGGCACCAGGGATTGGTGGAGAATCTCAGTCACAGGGTTTCATCCATCCAGGATTTTGTCGACAATATGTGAAAGAAACACCCCAGGACCCAAAAAAAAAAAAAAAGGATCGTAAGTCAGAAGTCACAGGGTGAATAGGGAAACTATGGAAACTGAACCAACATGACCCGACTGCTCCCGAAAACCCAGCAAATGGCCGTGATCCAATCCAAATCTCTCCTCACCACCGACCCGAAAAGAGCATCGTCTGTCTACACAGGTTCCGAGGATTCCAACTCAAACCACCACGAGTTCCATAACAGTGTGGCCAAAGGACTGATGAAACACCACTTGCCCCACGCCCTTGAGAGGAAAGGTCTATGCAAGAAGCTCAAAGAACTTGCGGACTGTTCAGTTGACAACGTACTGCGCTGCGTTGAAAAGGCTGGTCAACGAAACGAGGAAAGGCTCATGCCTTGAAAAGCTGAGTTTGGCGCGCGCATGCGCACGCGTTTGCACTAGCCAGGATGCCACAACGGCCAGCATTGGACCAGGACGCGGAAAGCCTCGCAGGACCCATCGACAAATTCACTGCAAATTCACTAGTCACACGCCGCTCTTCAAAGTCCAAAAACAATGCAAGGTGACCCCAGCCAAGTTGTTTGCACGCTCAATGCCAAATCTCTTGAGAAACTCAGACGCCACAAACCCCCAAGGAATTGATCCCGTTTAGTCGATCCCGCACCTGTCTCATTAAAAGAATGGACTGGGAGCAGCCGCTGTTGCCGAGTGAAGGGTAGGAATCAAAGAGAAAAAGAGAGGAAAAGAGAGAGAGAGAGAGAAAGCAGATGGAGAGAGAGGGAGAGGGATAGGGAGGGAGGAAAAAAGAGGAAGAGTGAAAATCACTGTGGGTGTTCACTGTTTTTCTTAGGTGAATATTGTTGCCAACTGTTCTAAGTTTTAATAATATTAACAGATTTATAGTTATTTTTCTGTTTACTACTCCATTCAGGACTTTTAGTCAGGCCATGGCGTAGAAAGGAGAGGGGGTGAGAATGTAGGAAGGGGAGAAATGCTTGTACGTCAGATAGAAAGAATCTGCATAGTTGGCCCAACGTTCGCTCCCCCGACTCATCATCTCTTTCTTGCGAATAATAGACAAAAGGAAGAAAAACACAAACTGCCTATGCATCCATGCATCTATTTGTGCATCTATTTGGATACCGATCTATCTGTCTATCTTTCTACCCATCTGTCCATCTACGTATCTATAGCAAAATCGGTCTATCTCTCTATCTTGCTGTCTATCTACCGCTCTCTCTTATCTAGTTTTTGTTCTTTCAATATTTCTATCTGCCTATGTATACACCTATCTATCTCCCATGTGCCGGCCACAAAGTCAGCAGTCCGTGACTCCAAAGCGCTGTGCTTGCCACCAAATCAGCACGTGAGCCAAGCACATCAGCGCCTCCGGTGGAACAATGCTCCAAACTGCTGCGCCTGCCACGGAATTCAACATGCGTCCACCCAAAGTGCCGCGCATACTACGGGAGTTGGGCGCATTGCCCCAAAGTGCTGCGCCTGTCCCTCAAAGTGAGCCTCAGGTCTACGAAACTCGACTTTGACGCATTCAGGGCGCGTGTCAGAATTCGCACGGGACTGCGGTGCCAGGAATGCATCGACCCATTTTGACTAACTTTAAGCTTGCCAAGAAGAGCTGATTGCATGACAGGGCCAACGACAATGCCACTCGCGCAAACGCCCAAACGCTTGCACGTGCCTGCCAAGCAAGACACAGCAAAACGATCATTTGCAGATCACAAATTCAATCGCGTAACCTTCCAAAACACTGCGCAGCGAAACGGCACGCAACCTCGCAAAAGCAACAATTCGAGCACGGGCGCAACAAAAACAGCCGCCGGCAACAGCTTGCGAACACATGCGAACGCTTACGAACACTTGTGGCAAACAGACCCCCAGACCCCTTTCTATAACGGGAACCTTTCTTCTACGCATTCGAGAAAACGAAAAATCCCAATAAGACTCCAAATCAAATCTAGACCAGCACTACTTCAGCATAACTGGGTTGTGCCTTACTATGAATAATCTTCAGAATATTGATCGTAAGTTCAGAATTGGGAAAAAACTTACAATCTACAACTTTATTAGTGTTATCGGAATTTGAGGGTTGTGTATCTGTCTAGTCTTTTAGTATTGAATCTCAATTGGCTGTTTATCTGTGTCGTATTCTTAGAAGTATGTTTGTTTGAAAAACCATTACATGTACAAGTTACACCAAATTTAGTCTGCTTTCCTGCCAAAATGTTGAGCTGTCTAATCTTCGCAAACATTAAACAACACATTTATCTTTGCAGGACTTAGTATTCATTGTTGGCCTGGAACTCACGCTTCTCATAGAATTATTTTCCTTTGTGATTTTACATGTGTTATAGTTGGTCTGGAGATTGCTTCAGAGATTTAATTAACACGATAGAGGCAACTAACCCCAGTGCAGACATATACAACGCCAAAAGCATTCCCAAAGATACCCCCCACAATGTCGCTGGAAAAACCCTCGCACCCTTGAAAGCGATCCACACGCAAAACAATTCTTAACGCATGCATCACCAAAGATACCCTCGCGAACAAAGCATTCTCAAGGACATTCCCGCAAACCCCAAAATCCGCCCCAAAGACATCTCCCAAGACATCCCCAAGACGTTCCTAAAAACACTGCGGACATCATCCCCAGAAGATACGTTCAAAGACACATCTCCAAAAACATCCCCAACAGCCACCCTTAAAGACACAACACAACGACGGCCTCCAAAAACAATCCACCCGAGAAATCGCCAACCGACATTTCCTGAGACACCCCCCTCACAACATCGTCCGAGACATGCCCCAAAGATACGCGCAATGACAAGCTAAACAAAGACCAGTTACATGCCGCCGACGACATCCCCATGTACAACTCCCAAAAACCGCCAAAAACACATCCCAAATACATCACCCAAAACAACCGAAATGTTCCCCTTGAAGACTTGCCCCCCAAGACACCTTCCAAAGACGTTCCCAAAGACATCAAACGCACAAAGACATCCCCAAACTCAACCTCCAAAGTCACCCCAAAGACATCCCTGAAGACATCACCACAAGACACCTTCCAATGACACCCCCAAAGTCACCCCCAAGGGACCGCACAGACATCCGCAAAGCAGACGTCCCAAAACACCCGTCCCTAAAGAACCCCCAAAGCTATCCCGCAAAAACAAGATATCCGCCACAGACATCCCTCCAAGACCCAAAAGACACCCTTGGAGGACATCCCTGAAGACTTCCCCAAAGACAACGCCCAAGAGAAAAGAAACCCCACAAAACAAATAACGCAAGGTCGTCCCCCAAGACATCACCCAAGACAACTGCAAAGACAACGCCAAAGACACCCTCGGAAACATTCTCAAAGACATCCCCAAAGACATTCCCCAAGGCAACCGCGAAGACATTACCAAAGACATCACCCAAGTCAGCCCACAAGACATCCCCAATCGCTCCAAGCCATTTTCGAGGCCTCGCCTAGCTCTAGCAGTCGCAGGCTGCCCACAGCGCTCAGCGCCAGCAACCAGTGCCGCCCCCGAGGGGATTTGCGAACCTGGCCCGCGGGCCACGGGGCTCCCTATATGAGCCATGGTCAAAATTACATGCTCAAAGGACATGGGAAAATATGTCAGCCGTCTTCCCAGCTTTTAGGTCCTTATGCGTCCGCAGTTACCATGGGGGTCGTCCTAAACGTCCTGGGAGGGTGCCCTCCATGATCTATGACTGGCAACAAATGCCGATTCGAGGGCTCCGCCAGTGCATGCTCCCCCCTCACGCGCCTGACGAAACCCTGTCTCCAAAAGCAAAAGTGTTGGCACGGCGAACGTGCACCCTGCAGCGACAGTTCAATCAGCGAACGGATGTGAATCTTGATTGGGACCCTTTGGCAAACATCAGGGGAACTACATCCACAAACCACTTGTGAGTCGGGGAACGAGCCGTACAAAGCCTGCACTCTTGCCGGAGTTTGCGGTCAGGCGCTTGGTGCAAATCCAAACCCCGGCTCTGCTCGCTCCCATCGCCTCCCCACTCGGCATCACCACACTCTCTCGGCCGTATGCGCGCAGCGAGGCCTTCCCCACGGGCCGAGCGCCTCAGCCCGTCCACCGCGGGCCCCATGGTTCAACCACTCAAAATGAGGAAAGCATACGAATCAAAAATGAATGCAAATGCCCCCAGGCAAGGGTGGTCAAAGCTGTCCCGCACGGGGCTTGGGTTGCGGACCTCAAATTGGTAAGCCTCGCAAATGGATGATTTCCGAGCGCCGATTGTAACACTGCGCCAACAGCTGCCAAGAACACAAAAGCGTGCGATCCAGCGCAACAATCAAGCTGGCGCCACAAGGTCTGCCGAGTTGCGCCACCACCTGCCAGAGCACTCCAAACAAGGAATCAAGCCATTTGCCGGTTCAATGGGAAGGCATGGGGGCCATGGCACACCTTCTACGCTGGCCCGTGATTCAAGAAACCTGTCAAGGCCTGGTGGAATTCTTGGCGCTGGTGAAAGTGTAGGACGCAAAGTCAATGGACACCGCGGTCGGGGGCTCCCCTTGGCGGTAAAGCTCCTGAGTGGAGCTTGAACGACACCCGACGCTACAGAATGCCACCCTGCAGATAATAGTGTGGAAAGCGTGAGAATTATGTCGTGCAATCTGGACAGCATGCCCGCCTTGCCGAGAATGGAAGTGAAAAAGGGTGCCCATCCGCAAGCAGTGGCTTTTTGTCTCAAGCCAGGGCCCCCGCCGGCAGCGGCACACCCATCAGTCCGGCAGCATCATCGTCGCCGTTGAGGATCTTCACAACCAAGGCCTAGCGCCAGTTCGGGGTTCCTTAGATGAGTTTGATGATGAGACCCGCAAGAGGTGTAGTTTTCCTTTAAGCTCTTTTTGAACCAACACAAGAACACCAAAATGAGACTCATTTCAAGCTTGCCCAAACGCTGATGTGGCTGTGGGTCAAAATTTAAGAGCTAGGGTTACGCAGGTTTTAGTCTTTGGTTCCATTTAGCAAGGGTTTTGAGCCACAGCCATGTGTTGAAGCGCTACCAGAAAACAGGGAGCATACCCCGGCATTTCCACAACCCCACTCCGCGCCCAATGCGACACCGGGCATGTGGCCTGCAGGAAGTCCGGGAGGTGCTGGTGGTACGACTCTGGCGGTGCCTTCTGCGCCCACAAGCTCTCCAGAGACGCCGTGACCCGGATCCAGGTCTCCCAGTCCAGGCGGTAGTGGTAGGGCGACCTCAGAGGAGCTTCTAGCTGTGGGGGTCAAGGGAACATGAATGAACACAGTAGTCCCAATTCACAGGCCAAGTGAAATGGTCATGGTGCACAACAATAGCAGATCCTAAAACTCCAGACATGGGACGTGCAAGAAGCAAACCCTTCAAAAGGACAAGCGAGTTCCCGGAGCGACGCATGCATGTGCGTCTGTGGTGACTGCCCAGCTCAGGGCTTGCTCATTGACCAGGCAGGTTGAAGCAAACACTACTCCAAAATTTGATATGGCTCGGCCGGGTCAGGTTTGCCAAAGCCAACTTCCGCAAGCAGCATATCAAGCGCAGCCATCTAAAGCAGAGGAAGCACTTGTTGGGTACTACAAGCCTCTCATGTCAAGACGACTTGCAGAGAACATCTTGAAAAGGGAAAGCTGAGAAGAAGTCCATGTTCTGAAAGTGGCATCACTTAGAGAAGCCCCCCTCCTCCAATTTCTCCCCAAGCTGCATGAAACAGGGCCTGCGCTCTGGGGAACCTGGAAGGCACTTGAAGTCCAAAGGCTTCCACACCTGGCGCGGATTCCGAGCAACAAGACTCTGTCCTCTTGACTCAGGACACTGGCGATAAAGGGATTGCTGGTTCCTAAATTGGGGGGCCTTTCTGTGGTTCCCAAATTGTCTTCTGCTCACCGGACATGGAGCAGGTCCATCTGCGTCGTTTTGCACGCACTAGTTATCCATCGGTGATGCCTTCCAATCGGAGACTCCAAGAGAGGAAAATGGTCGGCCCGTGGCCACTGCCGAGCTGCTGCGCTCGGCGAACCCGGGCTAGCGTCGTGCGTGTACTTCAGCACCTCTTGCCGTAGAGGAGAGGTGAAAGCGAAGAGGGACGTGTCAAACAGAAACTCCTTTGAATCACGGATACATGATCTCTTGGTATGACGGACAATGGGCCAAACCAGCAGGGCTTGGCTTGCCCCTCAATGAGGTCGCCAGAAACCAGAGAAACGGAAAAGATGGAAAGAAGCCGGAATGAGCCATTCAACTTTCCACCACTCAAGGCATCTTGCAACACAAGTTACCGCCATCTATTTGTAGCTTGGCACAACTTGCACTCGGTGCTGGTTGATGAAGCCAAAGACGCCCTGCGAGTTCATCAGAAACCTCAGTGCGTTAACCAGCACTTTGAGAGGGTGCAGAGGCAAGAAGAGAGGTAACTTTCAGAACTTGACGTGTAATTGAAGAGACCACAAAGCCCAGCCAAATCGCTCTCTTGAGCTTGCACATAAGTATGCTCACAAACGCAATTTGCAGCAAGCTACCTTCAAGCAATCTCGTGTGCTGCCCCAAAGGGAGCAAGCTAAGTTGCAGCCCCCTCCTGACACCTGCAGCAAAGCGCATGTTCCAAGAGCCTCATGTCAAATCGCTTGAATGGCAGACACCGTCCCTCGGCTCTTGGCTGAGAGCCAAGGCGCCACTGGTCGTAGCTGTTGATCCAGGGCGCTGGGCCGAAGAGCTCCTGCGAAAAAACAAAAGGGCAAAGGCCCGACTCGGGAAGCTTCCTATGGCGTCATGAGACTTCTCAGAAGCAGGTTCTGCGTGTTGGATTGTCAAAGTCCTTGACAAGGGGAGCTTGAGACTCCAAGAAGCAATCTGTCACAAGGCTTGCGGCTTCACTCCTTGATTGGATCCTTCGACTTGTAGACCATGACCTATCAAAAGGTGTCACGGATCCGTCAAAAGGCCGAAGGGCTAACCATAGTTTGTACTGGGGAGAAAAGCGGGCCGTCTGCCCACGCATATGTCCAAGCCCACTATCAGACCCTCATGTTCCCCATCCAGGATAACAGCCAGCGGCATTAGCACCGAGCTCAGGCTGGTGACCGCAAGGTGACCAAGCATTACCAAGCATGGATGCCGCGAGAAATACGGCCAAATGCGGCCTCGCAAGCCACATTTGTTGGAGTTTCTGATTTCTCAAAAAAACCTAGTTGACACATTTGACTGGCGAGCCTTGATAAATACTAACATGAGAACTATGTTGGTGTGTGAGTGTGTCTGTGAGTTTGCTTGCTTCATTGCTTGGTTGTTTCCTTCCTTGCTCGATTGCTCGCTCGCTTGCTTGCTTGCTTGCTTTTCTGCTTTGTTCAGGACGCCGGACGCCCCGTTGTTTGGACATTGTGGCGACCAATCATTCTGCCACCCCGCCCCCCCTCCCCCAATCTCACACCTCATTTGCCCGCTTTTGTTTTGCCGCGCGGCCAGCACCAGCACCAGGTTCACCAGACCCCGCAGCGCCCCGTAGCCACGCGCCGCCCAGCGCACTGGCGCTTTGGAGCCTGGAATGGAGGCTTGGCGGCTGGCACCGCGCTGGTTCCATGCTGCTTGGCCATCTGGGATACTCCCAAAATGAGATTTGCAGATTTGGTTCCACATGTTGGCCTACCCTGAAAAGGTAGACCAAGTTTAGAGGAGACTCCAGGTTGGTGGGCGGAGGGTAGGATCTATGTGGATGGTTGTGGCCAAAGTTGGGCTAACCTTTTGTTTAAAAATGGTTAATCCAATGTTGGTTTGAACGGCGTCCTTTTGGTTCCCCTCCAACGGAGGAAACACCTCTCCCCCGAAGAAGCAACAATTGAACCCTGATTGTTGCTACTTCATGGAAAAGATGTCAAGTCCAAAAGGATAGCAGGCCAGTTGCGTCGAAACAAAGAGCACTGCACTGATTTCCTTACTGTTGCAAGAAGGGTTCCGGGGGATCCTGCAAGTTTCCGGTTGGCTTATTTGCAAAATTATGGGAAACCAAAGAATCGCGAGTGAGATGCAAGCGAGTCTTGGGCCTCTTTTTTGGAGGAAGAGGTATAACGAATCTCTGAGTTGCGGAACAGGTGACCAGCTTCCTGCCTTTTGCAGGACAACGCCAAAGCGAATGACTGGCCAAACTGTACAAGAAACAGAGTCGCCCCGTTCGAGGTACCGGCCTGTCGGCTGCACTTTGGCCGCCTGCGCAAGTGTACATCCCTGGAGAAATGGCGAGCTTCCGTTTTTGGGGGGGTGCTTGGGAACCGTCGGCACAGGGGGGGCAAGCAGCCTTTTGAAACCAGATCCACTCTGGAAAACTGCTGCCCACCCCTGCCATCAAAGCTCTACAATATCTCTCGCATGTCTCGCTCGCCTCCACAGACTTCTCAGCACGCTTTCGCAGCGGCCCTGGTAGCCTAGGCAGTACCACAAAAGAAAAAGGACCATGTTGCCAAAGCATGTGGCAATGTCATGTCAATTTATTCGGCGTCAACCTCAACATTATAAGCTCCGCTATGCCAACTCTACTCAGCAATAACACGCGCGTCTGAGAATGGTCAGCTTTCCGACCTCATTCTCCAACCTGCACCCATTTGGACTCATTCACATCGTTGTCCATATACTTATATGTCATGGCCCGACCTCGTGTTGGGGGTGTTCCTAATTCAGTATGCTACCCAAAAACACAATCCGCCGTAGTCCTCTGTAAACAAGGGTAGGCGTCATGAGTAGATCCATCAAAAGAAGTCCCTGAACAAAGGCAAAACCTGCGGTTCCGCACGTTGCGCTCGTCTTCCCTTTGCTTTTAGGAAGGGCACAAAGCCAGCAGGAAGGCATCGTCGAGCATGGCGACGCAGGGCAGCGCGCCGATAAAATTGATCCAGGCCTCGGGTCGCGAATCGGTTGGAAGGGAGGGCCAACCTGTCTGAAGCTCGTGCTCGCCATGTTTAGAAGCGTTGTTGCACACAGACACAGAGACAGACACACAGAGACAGACACACGCAGACACACACATGAAAGCTTCCAAGTCGTCATTGCGAGTCACCCAGCACGAAGTCCCCGATCCTCTGGCAACCAAAGCGCATAGTTGCCTGTGCCCACAATGGTGGCCTGAAACCCGATCTCCAGCACGGCAGCCAAAAGCCCTCAGATGACATGGATCTGAATGCTGGGCATGTGTCAAAATCCGCCGACCCCACGCCTGGTCCAGAATGGACCATGCTTTCGGCATGGGGGCGGTGTGTTCTGTGTTGCTTTTGTTGATATGCTTTCTATAAGTTTAATGTGAATATGATTATGTATATATATATATATATATATAACCTATATGTCCCTTGGGGCGGCCCTTGGGGCTGGTTTCTACGTCGGCTGGATTTCTGGATTTCTGGATTTCTGGATTTCTGGATCTCTGGATTTCTGGATCTCTGGATTTCTGGATTTCCCCCCCCCCTCCCCCCCCCCCCTCCCCCCCCCCTCCCCCCCCCCCTCCCCCCCCCCAGTGCGGCTACCCGGTGGGCTTCTGAGCACAGGGTGAGAATCATCTTTTTGACCGCGAAAAGTCGAAAAGTCGAAAAGCCGAAAATTGCCTGAGGCCGCGAAAAGTCGAAAAGTCGAAAAGTCGCGAAAAGTCGAAATGTCGAAAAGTCGAAAACTCCCCGAAAACTCGAAAAGTCGCAAAAAGTGGAATAGTCGAGAGGAGCCTGGAGGTTGCAAAATTCGAAGCCAAGCAGTAAACTCAACTGACGATCTTGAAAAGCAAGCCAGTAACCGCTGTTTCAACAGCTCACGTGCGAAAAACTCAAGGCCTTTCGCAGGTCATACATGTGGCGTTGTCTGTGTTCGGCAGTCGGAATCTAAGGTCCCGTGTCGTGAAAAGGGGCCACTTTGAACCAACTTCAGAATGGTGCCAATAAATAACACACTCGCATCAGTTGGTGCTGCAAATGTCCACCACTTTGGAGGCGACTCTCAGAGCGGAAGTTTATAGCCAAACGTGCATGTGCGAAAAACATATGGGGCACCTGCAGAAATGGATGCAACCTGGGGCTAGCAGTGAGCAGCCGCATTTTTGACGCACTCACGGCAGTTTCCATCAGCCTGGCACGGCGAGCCACTCGTGGTCAAAGAGGCCTAACTTGGCGCACGAGGGCTATTGTGACGTATTTCATGACTCAAAACCAGTAGTTTGTGACACAGTGCCAACAAAGTATAAGCACAGTCGGTTATCGGTCCGGCGGGTTGTTTTGCATGTTTCCTACGCGCCCTGGTCGCCATATCGAACTTCTTGAGCCTGAATTTTGGAGCTGGAAACTAGCCCGCCTAGTTCTGAGAACTGAGCCTCAAAGCGTGGCCAAAAAAACTGCTTTCCTTGGCTTGCCCTCATCAAAAACGAAAGTGCCAAAACCTGCTCTGGCTGGCACTTTCCTTGGTTTTGAGTCCCAGACCCAAAAGCGCCAAACAAGTCCCAGATACCCAGCCCCCGAGCCCGGGAGCAATTCCGCAAGTGTTGGCCCCACATAGCGAAAGACATGGAACCCCTAAACATCACCCCCAAAGCGCAATCTCGCGACAATACAACCCAAACAGCACCTACACCAGCACCCAACCCAGACAGACCTGGGCGTATATGCGCATGACAACGACCATCTGTCCGATTCTGGCGTCAGGCGGATTTTCGAACATCAAAAAACCTAGTCTGCTGATGGGTGGGGGGGCCAACGAATCCAAAATAATGTGCGTGAAACATCGGATCTGTGCCGGCCAAAGATCATTCTTGAAGTCAGCTATCAGATCAGCATTAGGATATTAGCACCCCCCTTCCATGGAAGAGAATCAAGCGTAACATTTGCCATTCGCCCGCCACTGGAAAAGCGTAAATCCCGTGCAAGGTGTGGAGGACGAAACCTTTCATTTTGGACAGGGCCTTGATTCTGCGCCCAGCAACGTTTGACCGCCAACCAGTTCACCAGTTAACGAGCCAAAAATGTCGGATTCCAACACAGCTCGCCTGGCATTGAGTCGCGCCAATCTCCCAAGCCCGAAAAAAACAAAAGTGCCAAGAACAGCTCTCCTTGGCACTTTCCCGATTTTGAGTGACATCTTTGTGGCTTGGGGGGCTTGTTTGGAGCGAGGCTAGCAAACGTAATTCCTGTTTGACAGGGCCGGGTAGTGAGACGCAAACAGACCAGCTCCTTGGCCCCAAAGTGCTTCCTGCCTGAGAAGTTGCAGGCGGCTTCGAGACGTCCTGGACAAATGTCGCGTGGGGCCAAGGGCACTTACATTGCACATGCATCACAGCGGTGTCGCATCTGCAAGCAAGAATCCGTGTCATAGTTTCCCGTGCGTGAGTCAACCCTACGAGACTCCCTTGCGTGCTGCGTGGCACTCATGTAGATTGGTAATGGTAGGCAGGCAGGCACATACTTCGATGGGCCTACATGCTTTGGAACAAAATCAGGACTAGACAAACCTGGGACTAGACAAGAGCTTGCGGAACTACAGCTTGGCGCAGCCCCTGTACTTGCCCAGCGCCTGCTCAGATATGCGCAGCGTGGTCTCGACCCATGTGGCCCCCGCAGGTGAGTAACGGAGGAAGATGCGGCTCTTGTCTGCGTCAAACTTTGCGGCTTTTTGCTCGACCAGGTGACGAAGCAAGGCCCTCCATCCATCTGCGGATCCGTGGGCATTCAAGGCATCGCTGCCACCGTAGCGAAGCAGGCCTCATTGGACAAAAGGCACGTGACACAGAGCTATGTGGAGTTTTTGCCCTGCAAGTCTCTACCATATAAATGGAATATAAGGGACGTCTACTACACCCAGGATGTTTTAGCGTTGCAGTTGCAAAGCGCGTGAAGTTATTGAATCCTGTGTGTACTTTCGCGCGCGCCCGCCTTCCTGACGCTTGCGTGTGCGACTGAAGTTCAGCTGCCGGAAGTTGTACCAAACGGTCTTGCTGTTGATCTTCATAGGAACGCCATGCTTCTCGGCGAGCTCCAAGAGTGTGTCTCCTTCCTCCATTTTGTGCGAAGCCAAAGAATCGAACATCCGGCGTGAGGCAAAGTCAAGCTGGGAGAGGTCCGGCATGTCCTCCAGTTCCACGGGAGCAGCCTCCTTGTCCTGCGCCTTCTTTGCCTCTTGCTGAAGCCTTTGCTGAATGTGCTTCTCAGCCAAGAATTGGTTAGAGGAGCACAGCTCCATGCGAGGTATGGCTGCCAAGGCATCCAGTGTTCTCACGTGGCTGTCTAGCTTGGCCTTATCGCCCAGCGCGACCCGGAGCAAGCCATTCCACATGGCGGCATTGGCCGTCGCAACGGCCCCGAAGGCCTTGCCAGCATGCTTGGTAACCACGGAGCTGCCGGGGCAGCTTCCGGCAGTCTTGCAAGCTTGATTCGATCCATCCATGACTCCAGCCAGGATGATGGTTGCTGACGGAGACCAGTGCATGCAAGGCACCTCCATCTGGAACAATTGTTCCGCGCCAGGCACGTCTGCTTTCCTCCTCTTGGTAGGCGGCTGCCGGATCTGAATCTTCACTTTTGGTAGAGCGGAGCCCTCTTTGTCCTGCTCATCTGTCAGCGCGACATGATCCTGGATCGCGAAGATGGCTTGTGTGCAAGGAGCTTGCTGCGCTTGGAGAAGATGTCGGAGTACGCAAGACAACAAGTCATTTGACGCCACTGTAGGAACAAGCTTCTCCTCGAAGGCGGTCTCTTGCGTCTGCGCGGGGTCAATGCTAGTCATCACGAACCGAAGTCTGCCATTGGACTCAGAGCCCATCTCCCGAACATAAATGGGCAGCTGTTCCGAGCAAGGCCCAAACCTTTGGCTTGAGACACGTTGTCTCTACCCCGGTTCTCTTGCCAAAGGCGTCCGTGCCATCTAGCAGCTCCACAAGGTCAGCTTCTTGGAGCATTTTGTCTTTGCGCTTGTTTAGGATCTTCTCCAGCTCCCCATTGATGAGCTGGAGCTGGTTGCCGTTGGCCTTCAGCTCAACCCGGTCACTGTGAGGCTCCCTTGGCGCAAGGCCTTGGTGGCTGGCAGCCCAAGATTGGACAACGCTTGGAGCCACTGGAGCACGACCCTGACAACGTTGTCTTTCCCGGCTGCGGGGTCGCCGGCAACGATGAGAGGGAGGTTTGTAGCTCCGATGTTCCACTCGCTCTAGAGGACTCGAGAGGGGGATTTTTCAAAGCGCCAGTTGCGCCGCTCCAGTAGTAGGCACACTGCCCCTGGAAAGCAGCAAAGAGGACGTGCCCGTCTGGTGGGAGCCCGTTCCCGACAGAGACTCGGCAGAGCAAGGGGGTTTCCGCCTGTGCCTTGCAAGGGTCTGGAGTTGCAGCGCTGAGAAGATCGGAGAAGAACCCTGAGCAATGGTCTGTGATGAAGGTTCGCAAGCTCACTCCGGCAGCTTTGTGATGCATTCGGATGGATTGGTAGATCTCCTTGATGTCGTAGACTTGCTTTGACCAGAGGTCGTGGAACGCCTCAGTCTGGTCGTCGGTCGCAGAAGCCAGCGCCGCCGCAAGGTCTTTGGCGGGTAGCTGTGCGCCGGTCACCTTGCGCCACGTCTCTTCTGCTAGCATCTGGAGAGATGTCACCGCGTTTTTGCTGGGGTCGACAGAGGAAGCCACCTTATCTTGAAGGATTGTGAACTCGTGAGCAGCCTGATCCTCAAGAGCATTCAGAGCATCCAAATACGTAGGTGGATCAGCCTGAGTGGCAATCGCAGCTGCGTCTCCTTGACTGCTGTTCTGGGACATTGCTGTGTGATGACCAGGCAGGTAGACCTGTTGCGACGACGAGCCAGTACAGGCAAACGACAAAGTCATGCCTAAGTCACTCCTGTATCTGTGTGGCCATGTGTTCCTCCATGCAAACGCCGATTCCAAGAAATTACTCCTAAGTCACGCCTCGGCAACAATCCCCATGGAACGCTTGACATCACTGAGCTGATCATGCTACAAAAAGACAGGTGTCCAGGTGAGAGGAAAAGCAAGGTGCTGACTCGAACCAGCTGTAGCAAAAGAGACGTCAAGTCTCAAAATTGAACACACTGTAAACGCTCCTAGGCGGAGAAGATAGAACATGCCTAGACCATCCTAAACCCCACGGAATAATCATTTTCAACTGCAATGCCTCTCCTTCC